TAATCATCTCTTATGATGTGCGAATAGTTTGATATTTTTCTACCTAGTCGTATTTTCTTCAAACGATTAACGCTGCTTGTGATGTCCTTTTTTCTCCGTTATACAATGTAGTATAATTAGCGTGTAATTATAATGAAAAATTTATATTTCGTACAATTAGCTCAATTTAGTACTACGTGTATATCTGTGTATCTATGTATATATGTGTTATCGTAAGTGACATAATTATATTAACGCAATATTTGTTTCGAAACACTTGGTAGCTAGACTTACATAAACGCACCGATAAGTTTCTCATTCTACCCTTCTCCTTTTACTAACGCTTTGCTGACACAATTAATATTATTATCACGGCTCTCACTATGCAGAGTGTCCCACTTTTAATGAACCAGGCAAAACTCTTCAGAAAAAATATGGAAGATACTAAGAAACGTTTCAGACAAAAGTTATATGATTTCAAAGGAGACGTAAAACAACTATATTACTTTTTTTAATTTGATGATTTTGAGATTTCCAAAGGTTTATAATTTAACAAAAGTTAGGGCGTTATTATAACGCAATATATTCTTGAGACTAAATAGGACAACTAAAAAGCCTATTTTTTTCTTTCGACAAATAGTTAGTGGGGATATCGCAAGTTGAAATGTTGAAAATATTACCAAATTTTCCTCAAATATCTCAAAGAAATATTAGGCAAATAAAAAAATGTTTCAGACCGAAGTTATTCAAATTAATTAATAGAAAAAGATGATGTAATAAAAAATTGGGATTTCCGTTCAAGAAAAGTAATGATCAGTGAATATCTCGAAAGTGGCGTTATGTGTAAACAAAATGATATATTTATTTTATATCCCCTTTGAAACCACGCAACTTTTGTTCGAAACGTTTCTTAGTATCTTCCATATTTTTCTAGATTTTTACCTGGCTCATTTAAAATGGGACACCTTATATAATCGATTGCAACATTTAGAGCACAAGGATACATGTTCTAAACTGTTCTTACGCTGCTTACATTTGTGTCGTGTATCAGTGGGGATCTGTAACTATATTATAACAATTATCTTCTCTCTAATAAGTGGCGTAGTGATCAAGGTAATATAAAGCAAAACAAATTTCAATAAGAGTAAGTAAGATTTTCTGAGATCTATTTGAATCAATTCGAATAGTCCTTACAGTTAAGTATGCGAGAGAGAAGTATATTTTTCTCAGTACAAAGTGCGCGAGTACGTTTCTCTACATATTCATAATATGTGAGTCTAATTTATACAAATCATTTGTTACATCCACAATGGATATTATTATGTAGATTACATAATAATATATCGAATATCTAAGTACTATAAATAGAAAATCTAAGTCCTAGTATTATATGAGCACATTTCGCGAGCAACATGTCTACGAACCTTGATCATTGGCCCAACTAAACAAAAAAGAAAAAGAAGGCGGGGAAAATCACACATATGCAAATGTGTATGTGCGGAAATTTATCGATAACGTCAGACATGATTGAATGACTAACAATCAGCTAACTTATTAAAATATCATTTGATGTCGCTATTGCGTAAAGAGCTACATTATAAGCGCTACGCTATACTTTCAAATGCAACACCGTGTAACTTTCGTGGAAACATTATGCATATCTTCGTCACTGATGGCGTGCACATGTCAGGCAGGAAGATGCAATTTAAATCATTTAATTAGAAGCGACACTGAGAGCGCCGGCAGGTATTCCCGATCTGAGGTGGACGGCTCGTCATCTCGGGGACGACGAAAACCGAGAATCAATTTGTCACGGCTCTTTGGACGGAACAAGGACAAGATATCGGGCGCTGATACGGATACGATGAGGACTGTTGTCACTCTCGATGACGAGAAGGTAATTTATGACGACTTATAAGGGGAGAAAATGAGTAACGATTATCATTCTGTTTTCATTTTCTTCTTTTACGAGTTACTTTTTACGTTAATCGATTCGAGTGTCTTCGACAATAACATACTTGAGAAACTGCAGACAGACGATTCCGAAGATGATATGTTATAAGTATCAGCGATCAATAAAATATTGCCTGTTTCGAATGTTTCGTCTGAAACGAATGGCTCAATAAACGCGATGATTCCTCGGACGATGATTTCATCGACCGGGTTCTTTAGCGCATCATCGGGTACACAGAAAGCAAAACGTTTGTATAAAAACAAAACAAACTGCAATCGAGTCGTCGCGTGATTTCCCCGTTCGGATGGGAAGAAAGCGTAACTGGCCTTATGAATGCCTTCTTATTTAAAGAATTTTTTTTACGGTATGATCGTCGCCGAAACATAAACTCTTGTATCTCTAATCGGATAAAAAAGACGCAGTTAAACGCGGCGTGGTATTATAGCTTCAGACAGCCGAGCCGGCCACGCAAGAAGGCAGGACGAATCCTCCGACGAGTGAAGGTGGGATAGTGTATGCAGAATTGGACCTCACGCTGCAACAACAGAGTGCCGCACCTCGCCGACTCAACGAAGATAAAACGGAGTATGCCGAAATTTTGTACACGAAACCGGAAGCTGAGGAAGCGGCTGATAAGTAATCGCGAGTTATTTTTGCGAGAACCATAATAGATTGACCGTAGATGATCGTGCGTCGTTCATTTCGAGTCACATAAGAACGATACTTTCTTTCCTGCTTGACATTGGTTTTCTATGAGCGAAATGTAAATCAGATGAAAATGCAATTTGCACGTGAGTTTCTGCCGGAAACGATAGATATATTTTTTTTCGAATCACTATCGTCTTGCTCCGTGTGAAATAAGTTATTGATTGATGCAACTCACGTACAGTTTCTTGCGAAAATGAGCATAAACGCGCGTCTTGATAATCATATAGTCCCGACGATAGCGTCCGTGTGTGATAATCTGTTCGCGGTAATTTTATGATAACAGGACGATGCTTTAATCTGTCGTTCGATGTACGTGCCGTGCCTACGCGATCGTAGTCCTTGAAATCGATGGCGAGAAAATGCCTTCGCCTTCACCGACTAACCCGAGCAGCCGAAATGTTGCACGAAAATTGCACGCAATTACCTGTTTTAAATCTATATAATACGCTCCCAAGAAGCGTGTGTGAGCGACGTTACTCATTTCGTCAGTAATTTACTTCTCGTTGGTGAAAATATCTTGAAAGACGGGACATTCTGTCCGCGATCCAGTTATTTCGTCAGCCAATCTTTTGTCACAACCACAGATTTTATATCCTGTGTGTGTGTGTGTGTGTGTATGTATGTGTGTGTACATTTGAAGTAATGTTAATATTATTATTTGAAAGAATACATAATTATAATAATTATTATCGTGATAATAATAATTATTACTATAATTATTATTAGTATAATAATTATGTTAATTATATCATATTAATAATATCTAGTTATATTAATATCGGAAATTATTAACATTTTCTTACTGTTTCGTTTGTAAAATTGCTAAATTCCAATCCTTTTGGAGAGATACTCTTCGCGACCGTTTTTTCTTATTTTCTCAAATCTTCTGCCTATCGCGTGTATTACTGTTGCGACGTTGTGTGAAAGCATCGTATTGATTGTACTTAAATACTACATTGTTAATGTTGTTACTGTCCATTTATATAATTCATAAGTGTGATAATAATATTTGCATGATGTAAGCCATACGCTCAACAGCCGTTTGAGTGCTTCAATAGCCGAAGAAATTAGAAGAGCAATTGTGATAAAATTTTCAGAGAATATTAATCCGATCAATCAGATAAATGGATAATGAAATTACCAGAATTAACGTGAAATAATATTCTACGACGAGCGATATTGATGATTAAATCTACATTGTATAATGTTGTTACTGTTTACAGATAATTTGATAAAATTAAAAAAAAAAAAAAAAAAAAAAAAAAAAAAAAAAAAAAAAAAATTATATATACAATTGTTTTTTTTTTTTTTTTTTTTTTTTTTTTTTTTTTTTTTTTTAATTTTATCGCCTAAACTCGAGACACAAATATTTACTAACAATTATACAACATAAGGTTTATATTATATATGACAATCGTGATTTGCATTTTTTTTATCGGTGTGGTATCTTTTAGCAGATTATAAGCTTAACGTGTTATTACATGAATTTAATCGCTGAATTTAATAGCGATATAAGCTAAATGTAAGTGAATTATTAATTCCGTTTGATCGGTTCGATTGTTATCTTAAGGTGCGAAACCTACGATCGTATCGATTCACAAGCGTTTTTTGCCGTCCAATATTAATAAATTTAGTTACATTTTTGTACGCTTTTATTTTAATAAATAAATAAAGATAAAGATATATTGATACTGCGATAATTATTTACTACTACTGATACTAATATTGATAATTGTAATATTTATAAAAAATTTAATTTTACCTTCAATCCCTTGAATCCTTAACTCATACAATTCCGAAACCTAACGTGCAATTATCGCAATAGTAAAAATATTTACTTTTCAAATGTCGGCATAAGCAGGAAATCATGTGAGGAAATGTGTCGTCTTCAATCATGTATTTAATTGGAATAAATAATACGTTCAATAATCTCGCTTATCAAAGTGTAAAGTGTTAAAGTGTAAAGAAATCATTATTAACTTTTTTCTCATGCGTACATGTATACATTATACTATATATGTAATACATGCATTATAAATATATACTATAATGTGCGAGTATACTAATAAGAAGGTAAAAAATTGGAAATTCAAAAAGAAGATAATTAATGAAAATATGTTTTAGATTTTTTCTTCAAGTTCGGATCGTTAATGATCGTTTTTTTTTGACGTATGTTATTTTTTAACCGTATTGCACAATGTTGCTCTGTGACTGTATCGATAAGATCGTAATTACACGCCTGGATCTTTCGCCACTTCGCAGATCTTATTCATTATGCGAAAAATATGTTTCGATTGGCAGATAAAAATGTTCAATATGCACGATCGCAGTTTGCTTCTGTGAACTTTGTTTCTTTCGTTTATCGCACGTCTGTATTCTCGTCTTCAGTCTCGGTTGTAAGTTTTCCTTCCTCGTCAGTATCATCCGTAACGTCGGTGGTCGCCTCGTCCAATTTCACCTGTCTGCGTGCTTCGGAATTGTCCTTAGCTCTATTTTCTTTCTGCTTTGGCAAACGATGGCGATAATTTTTGTAGAAATCCAACGACATTTCTGCGACGCGCTCGTTGAACTCCGTGCGGCTTTCTTCTCTGATGAAGCTACGTTTCACATTGCCGGTGCATTCGAGCGACGTTATTCCGGGTGAAGAAGGAGCATCGCTAGCAAAGTCTATCGCTCTTGGATAATTGTCGCAAACGGCCATCAAATCCGCGACGGAGATTCGCGATTGTTGCACTCCGAACGGATCAGTAGCGGGGGGGAAACGTCCGACAGGGTCTCTTCTTGAAGGGCGTGCTTGACCGAGGTTCAGATGCCACCTCGTGCTGACAATTGCGTTGTTCGCGTTTTCAGTCCGTAAGGTAGGCAACATGTGACGCTGTTGAAAGTCTACGGTGACACCTTTCGTGAGACATCGCTCATAGCGCAGGTAAGAACTTTCACCAGGTACCACGACTGCCCCGGGGATGGGCGTGTTGTGCTCTTCGATCTTCCCCGGAACTTTCCGCGCGGTTTTCGGCAGGATCTTCTTTGCGACTTTGCAAAACTCGGGATCTTCATCGAAATTCTCGCGATCAAAGGTCAAGGTGAACGGCGTGACGCGAACGTCGAGCCTCAAATTGGTGTTGAACATTTTCGTGATCACGTATAGCAACGCGTTCGAGTTTTTGCAGCGTAAAACGTAAATGGCGCCGCGGTCGCCAGGGAACAACGGCGGGCCGACCCAGCAAGGATCGGCCACGTAATAAGCATCCTTGGCGGCCACCGCAGCCAAGGTGACCTCGTTGCACTCGATAATTACGTTGCGAGCCTCCTCGAAAGCCAACTTCAGCGTCGCAGATAATGTCAAGCTGTCCCGATCGCCATATAGAACTCCACACACGTTCGTGCCGAAGTTCACGGCCCACGAGTGCGGGAACATTCTCAGGGTGGCGCGCAGCCGGAATCTGTTCGACGGGCTTGAGCACTTCCGCGCTGCGAGCCTCAGGCTCTCCGTGTAGTAGGTGTCCCCGCAGATCACGGCCGAGTCCAGGATGGCAGGGCTCCACTGCGACGGATGGCAGAGGTGCTGCATAGCCAGCATAGCGACGCATATGCCGGCGCGATTCCTGCCGGCTCGTTGGCCGAATCTGCGATCGTACGCGCCGATCGTGCCCCAAACGGAGTAGATCAGATCGGTCACTTCGACGGCGTATCTGTTCCAGAAGCGTCGTTCGCTCGGCAGGTCGGCCTTGACGCTGTCCTTCGTTGTCTCGGTCGGCTTGGGTCGAGCCGAATGCGCCAAGTTCCAGTGATAGTCCAAGTAGACCCACATCGGATCCTCTTGGAACTTCTCGCACGGTGGACTGTCGATGGAGTCCACGTGAAGTCTATGGATGAAGAACCCGGTTGTGCCTTCGTATTGGTTCAGACACATGTGCCTCGCCATTTGGCATAAGAAAGAGAAGATGCACAGGCAGGCGTTGCCGTTGGCTAATGAGGTCCTTTTGCCGTTTACGTCGCAACGATAAGGATCCAAGTAATAATACGATCTGGTCGACTTCGAGAACCAGAAGCCGTAGCAGCAATTAGTGAAGTGGAGTATGCCGCTTGTGTGCGTCTTGAAGTAGCGCTTCAGGTGTTTCTTCACCTGAAAGTGAAACATACGTGAGCTTCAGCTCGATCGAGTTTTCTCTCATTTAAGCACTGCATTAAATAGATTACGTAGAGAACGTGGACTTGAAGTTGACAAGAGAATAAAAAGAGGTGGCGAAACAGGTAGTCTCCACCTGCCTCTTAGTTTCTCACTTGTATGTAAAAGTCGTTCTTGCCGTTCCTAAGACCGGTCGTCAGCGTGACTAAGGACGAGGCGCAATCTCGAAGATCGAAAACCCTGTTCATCAGCGGGATATTTCGCAAGATGTGCTCCGTGTGAAATTTCGGCTCGGGGAATCCTCTGTACAGACCCTCCGCCACTTCGAGAACCCTGTCGATCATGCTGGGGATAGGGGACTGAACGATGTCCCTCTTTATCATGACGGCTAATAGCGCTACAAAGTAACAACGCTTCGCACGCGGCTCCACTAGGCTGTCTCGATCGCTCAACGACACCGTTCCGTGCACGAAGAACGGCTTGGTCATCAAGTCGATCGGTCTGAAGAGCGCTTCGACATCGCGAGAAACCGGCTTTTTTCGGTAAATTTCCGCCAAAGATGCCATCGGGACTACCGGCTCGTGGAGGCCTTTGACGTCACTGCAGTCGGGGTCCATTTTACGAGCATAGGATACGGTGATCGCTCGTACGGCGAACTTGATCTCTCGGGGTTCATCGATCTCTTTAATGATCAGTTTGAGGAATTCGCATCTGTTGCTGGACGTAATTATCCTCAGGTGCTTCGTACCGACGACGGCCCACCAGGCGAAATAGTTCTTGCCTCTCCTGGTGACGCCCACGTGAGCACGGCGACAGACGATTATCGCGCCGGTGTAGATCCTAGTCTCGAAGACCTTCTCCAGTGTCATCGCTAGGTTCCACCCCTCCACGGCGTACAAGGTCCCATAATGCAACGGCGCGAACACCGCTCGAAACGCGTAATTCCCAATCTCGAATTCCGGCAATAAAGCATCGGTCATATCGCTAACGGAAGTGTCCTCGCTCGCTAACACGCTGTCGAAGGCATAATCGGCGCTGGCCTCGAGCAGAGCGTCAACGGTCCGCTTCGACCAGGACGCAGGATCGTGGATCAAGGACCAGGCCATAAAGCAGAGATCGACAGGGATCGCGAGGGATGAGTGGTTTCGAAATATCCTTTCGTATGTCCTTCTCCTTGGCGTCGGGACTTCCTGATTAGCGCGATCATTTCCGGTCAACTTCCTAAACGGTGCCAACGTGGGCGTCGTGATGTCATCCTCCAAGACGACCGCCTCGAGCATCGAAGCCTCGCGGTGTCGCACCGGCATGAAGCCGACGACGGTAACGTTATCGCGATGATCCGACTCGGTGTCCGAGGCGACCCACTCAGCTAACTCGATCAAAGACGAGTCCGAATCGGCGGATGATGCCGGAGCGTCCTGTTTTTTTCCCGTGTGAACCGGCTCCGCCGCTTTCTTCGTGCGGAGCCTTTTGCTTCCTCTCCTTCGTTTCTGTTTAGGCTTCCTCGCCTCGGCATGACTGATACACACGGTGTAAAGGCTAAACGGCTTCCTCGCGGCCTCGCCGGCGCTCTCCTTCATTCTGCCGAGCATGGAGCTCAAATTGCGAAATCGTAGCAAGCAGCAGTAACCTTCCTCGCTCGCAGCTCCCGCCTCGTCGCAGGCGTAAGGATCGAACAGGTAATACCTGTCGTCCGCCGTCCAAAAGGCGTGGGCGCAATTTTCTAGCACGAGTATACCGGTACTATCCTGCTCCAGGAATTTCTCCACGGCGGTATCGAGGTCGTCGGACGACGGAGAGCTCGCGGGATCAGCGTGGACATTCTCCTTCAGAATAACGTTGAAATTTACGTTGAGTATGCTCACGTCGCGGAACCACCTATAATCCCTGTGCCGCAGCCTGCCGACGCGCCGATTTATCTTGTCGGTCAAGAGGATCACCCGATCCAACGTGCTGCCGCGAAAGCATTCCACGTCCGTTGCAACCTTCGCCAGGACGCACAATATAGCGGAGAAGTAGCAAGGTTTCAAATGCGAAGACTCCGGACGAGCGCGATCCGTCAGGCACGATTGGCCTCGTAATATTTCCACACCTTCGTTCGAGACCTTCATCATTATATATAATACGATATATATAATACGATATAATATATATAATACGATATGATTATCAGCGATTGTTGGCAGAAAACACTTTATGCTAAGTGACTCGCTTGTCTGGTTTGAAATAGCACAAACGCCCAACAAAGAAACGGCATTTATACAAAAGATGTGTGCATCGGTGTCAATAAATCATGTTTGCATGATGATACGCTAAAAGCTAATCTTTCATCGTCTGCATTTCATGACGTGGGAACAAGAACGACTACAAACACGTAGGAGAGTCTCTAATATCGCGACATAATTACTTCGAAGCCAATAGCCTCAGTTTGCGAACGCTTGTCCTCCTCACTTCTCATCTTTATGATCTTTCTCTTCCGCTTCCTGTCGTCCGTCTGCTTGACACCTTTCTCTCCCGGTAACTGGATAGGAAAATACAAAATGATCAAAACTTTCGTTGAAACTTCTGCGTGTATTTTCAGAAAAATACTTCAAACAAAAATCTCTGGTGTACATTTCCGGATAAAATTTATGATCTAGAAATGATACACACTAACTTGTACAGCGGGATCAAAGTTCGGAAGTATCATCTTAAACAGGAGTTTCTCCGCGTCGCACAAGCTCTTGTCGACGACAATTGATTCTCTTTTGGCATTCTTTCGCTTCCGCTCGTCGAGACACGTCAAATGCTTCATCATCGATGGAGCAGGTGTCCTGATTATAGGTCCGAGCGGTATCAACGCAGACACCGGTTTCTCAGCGTGAGTCACTACTTCTGGTAATTCCGCCAATACCGTACATTCTGTTCTTTCTGAAGCCTTCCGTGAAACCTGTTGTTCTTCGTCAAACCGTTTACCGACATCTTCGCTCTGGATGTAACTCTCATCGATGGCTCGAAGAGGCATCATACGAATTGGCGGCAATCTCGAATAGAGATACTTGGTGGAGGACAATTTGATCATTTTCGAGGGTTTCGCGTCTTGTGCCAGCGACACGATCGCGGCTGACGCCAAGAAGTCCGGGGAGAAGTCGTCTCTCTTCTTCACTTCTAGCCTGGAATCGATCGAGAATCTCGACACCAAAGATGGTACCGATTTGTTCGCCCGTTTCGCTTCCAGCAACACGCATAGCGTTTTTCTCGGCGGCATTACATATGGCGGTGGGTGATCGTACTTCATTTTCTCCATCATTAGCTCTTCGTGCAGACCGTTCGATTCTTCCTCGATCGGTTCCTGAATCCTCACCGTCGAGGTCAAGAGAGCCAGGTTTAGACGACTCGGTGCGTCGGGTTGCGCACGTTCTTCGACCTCTAATAAAGGATCCACGGGAGGTTTCTCCGGCTCTTTTATCGCTTCTTCCTCTTCTTCCTCTTCCTCTTCCTCTTCTTCTTCCTCTTCTTCCTCCTCTTCTTCCTCCTCTTCCTCCTCCACTTCAATGTCTTCCTTGGCCGCCGTGGGTTCCGCTGTTGGTTCCACTGCTTCAGCCTCTGCCTCTTCAAGTTTGACCAAGTCGTCGTCGGTGATCGGCAAGAACTTCGTTCGGAATCTCTCAATCACCTGTTTGTCCGGAATTACGATTTCCACGGGCGACGTATATTTTCCCGGCTGTATCGCTTCCAGAGCCGCAAAATGAAGCGAGAAACTTGGATCGTTATATTCTAAGACACCATGAAGAACGTCGGTCAGCTCGTTTAGACTGTCCGCTACGACGAGAGAAGCCGGGTAATCCCGCAGGCGCCACCCTTCCGAATCGCTCCCGTAAGGATTAAACAGGAAGAATTTGCCGTCCTCCTGCCAAACAGCGTACATCAGCCTCTTGTTCTCCAGAACGACTTCAGGGTATCGTTCGAAGTAACGCTCGAGAGCTTCCGCTAGATTAGCCAAGGGATCCGCGTCACCATCGACGATGTTCGTCTTCGTTTTAAATAAGGCGTCGTACTCGGCCAACTTCAATCTAGGCGGCAACAGAGAGATGTTTAAGTGACTCGGAGCAGCCGCTACCTTTCGAACTTCAGCTTCTTCCTCCTCTTCCTCCTCCTCTTCCTCTTTCTCTTCTTCCTCCTCCTCCTCCTCCTCCTCCTCTTCTTCCTCTTCTCCTAATTTCTCTTCCGGTGCTTTCGCTTCTTTTATTTCCGGCCGACCTTGCTCGATCCACGTTACAACCCACTCGTAAGCGGCGTTACTGACCTTAACGATCTGATCTACATCTATATTCCGCCAGTGAGTCGGCTCCTTCAATCTTCTGTACGTTAACGCGGTCAAGGCGACTATCAAACCTTGTCTGCCGCGTGATTTCAGACTGAATTCCTCGCTTAAGCAATTCTTTGTACCATGAAGAATCAAACGGTGAGCATTTATCATTCTGTATCCTGTGATGAAGCTTACCGGAGATTCCTCCTGTGCTTCTTCACCTGCCTCTGTTATTTCCTCGTCATCCTTGTGTGTTTCCTCCGTCTCTTCCTCAGCTATACCCTCTTTCTCTTCCTCTTCCTCCTCCTCCTCCTCCTCCTCCTCCTCTTCCTCTTCTTCTTCCTCTTCTTCTACTTTTTCTTTCTTCTTGCTTTCTTCTAGCGCGAGCACAAAAGTCGTCGGCTCATCGTCCGTCATCATGTACTGATCCACGTTAAGCATTATCTCTGGAAACTGGGTAGATACTTGCGTGAATTTTCTCGTAGGTCGAGCACGCGGAGTCATGTCTATAAATTTTTCCGTATCCAGCGGCGCCGGTCGTAACGGTGACCGTGGTCTACGGTTCGTGCCCTTCTCTCGGTAAATAACCTTCTCGAGCGACTCGCCTGGTGCCGTGCCGGTCTTAACGTACAGAACCTTAACTCCGTGTATCACAAAAGGATCCTTATCCTTGCTTCCGGTATTCTCCAATATTGTCTCCAACATCTGCTGCACGGCGCTGTTCATGGTCACGCATGCGGCGACTGCGATCTTCGCGTCAACGTGGTCGACCCTGAAGCCCTCATCGTCGCACGCGAAAGGATCGAGGAGGTAGTACGCGCTGCCACTTTTCCAGATCGCGTAGAAGACCTTCTTCATCTCGAGTATCCCGATCTCGTGCTTCCGGAAGAACTGCTGCAAGCCGCTGTCGAGAGTGAGCTTCCCCTTTTGCGCGGGATCCGGCAGCACGCTCGCGTCTATCTTCACCTTGGCGGTGTACACTCCGAGGACGATGTCGCTCATTAAATCTTCCAGTCGAAGCTCGAACGCGTCGTCGTCGAGCTTCCTGCCGAGGACCCTCGCTAGATCGATCAAGTAGATATTGGACTGATTGAGGATCAGGTCGAGCAAAGCCGTGGTCCACTTGTTAGCGTTAATCAGCCGGGAGTATATCAAGGCGGCCAAGGCTATAATCAGGTGTCCTTTCTGACGTAAGGCTTTCGGTATGGCGGGATGCGCTAGATGATAGGATCCTCGCACGACGGCTCGGTACTTTTGGCGAATCGCGTAACCGCTCGGTCTCCTTCGCGGCTTCCCGAGCGTTTCCTCGGCTTCGGGCTCCTTCGAAACCGGTCCAACCGCGCAAATACTAATGGCGTGAATAACGAATGGTTCATTTCGCACGTTGCTTTTCTCCAAGATAACGAACAGCACGCTCATCAAGTCCCTCAGGAGAAATAATTTGGCCGATCCACTAACACCGTCGGCTGCAGGCTCGCCGTTATCTCGTCGAGCCTGGGAGTCGAATATATTGTAATATTTGGAGTCCCTCCAAATGGCTGTGTTAAGTACCGGCGACGTTAAGATACCGGCGTCGTGTCGATCGAAAAACAACTCCAGCGCCTTCGCCAGGTGAAGCTCCGTCGGGTCGTGCGAGCGAAACTTACCGGCGTACGCCGGCTCTTCGATCCTGACCTTCACGTTGAAGTTCTTCCGAACGGTGAGATCCCTCTTCAAGTCGAGGACAGTCATCGTCCGACGATCGCCGGTGCTCACGCTCTTGTAAGACTCGCAGTAAAAAGTGTCGCCGTCGTCGACGATCTGATCGATCACCGCCTCGTTCCAATGGCGAGATTTTCGAATCGCGGTCGTGGCGAAAGCTGCAATCGCTATAGCGCCACCCTGCGATTAGAGCTGACGAGTGAGAAACTGCGCAAAGGCGATGTGTTTCAAGGTCCTCGCGTGGTTGACTCGCGCGCGATTACCTGATAACCCCTGGATAGTGGCGAGAATCTCGACATGTTCTGGTGAGTCACGCCGGAACGCACGCCGTATTTCACGCAGGCAGGTAACTCCGGTCGGATTTTAGTGAGGGAATAGGTGTCGTGCGGTAGATCAAGAATATCGTTCAGATTCCGGAACTCTTCCTCAAGGTCTTCGTCAAACTCGTCGGTGCTCGGCACGTTGTCCTCGGCCATCTCGATATCTCTCGTGACGTTCCCGATAGCGTCAACGGTCTCGCTTGAAACTATCTCGTCGCATTCGGCGAGTCGCCTCAGCTTATCCTTAAGTAATGAGGTTCTCCCTCCGTTCAGTTCGGGAGCAGTTTTACCCTCCATTTTCTCTCTGTCGCTCCCTTGCGTGTGCGTGTTCGTGAATGATAAGATCCAGCGAAATGTTAAAATTCGGGTGCACGAGTGCACAACGATGATATTTTCGCGTGATATAACTTCCAATCGAGAAGTGACTTAAGCCGTGAAAGCAGCGTAAACAATGCACTAAATTAATTTAATTGGCACCTTATTGTGCCACCGCGGGAATTTTTGATCTTTATGTCACGGCAATATTTCATGTTTGTGTGTGATCCAGACTTGGATTCGCGAATTGTTATGGAATGCACAATTGGGCTTCAACTGGAGGTCATCATTAGTCAGATTAACATGAGCGAAATTATCGACAATACACGAATCGATACAAGAAATGACTAGTGCGATCAGAAAATCAATGCCGCGAGGAAGAAGAGAGACACATCGCACATGCGCAATAAATAGATAACACGAACCTATAGCTCGCATACGCAATATCCGTAATAAGACGGTCAATAATTCGTGAGCGATAAATTGTGAAATGATAAAAGACATTAATTGAGATTAATTTCGGATTAATTTGTTGTTATGCACGGCGACATTGACCAAATAATGCACGAAGATAACCTCTTGCAATATGGTGACACGGTAAAACATAATTAAAGAGCTGGTACGTGTAAAGAAACACTAATTTATCTTTTTGTTTATTAAAGCGAAATGTGCGCAGTTCGTTTACAAGGAAGTGACTCGTAGAAAGTTGAACGAAACTTCGTCGCGACGCAATTTCATACGTATATAACATGCGAATTTGATTATCGTTGAATTATTCATCATCCCGACATATCGTAGAAATTCCTCGCGGTCGTCGCAGTTTTTTCTCAAACGATATTTCCAGCTCTCTTCTATTGGCTATTCAAAAGCTGGACGCTTTTATGGACGCAGCTTACCTGGAACTAGAACGTAACGAATGACGTGGTAATAAAGTGAGCAATCCCCCGACTGCATCTGCGAAGGAGCATCTGCGAAGGAGGTCTAACAGGTTGCACCGAACTGGGTAAAGTGGTACCTGGATGGAACGTAGCGGTAAGTTCATTTTTAGCCCTCGCGGTAAATCCCACGGATCTCGAACATGCAGCCTCCCTCCTAGGGGAGAAATTTCTCCCACGGATCAGTAGTGAACGAATGGGTCATCTATTGTTGATAATAGTAAATAATAGGTCAGTCACAAGCCGACTTGGCTTCTTATCTAGTCAAAGCGGTGCTCGATTATCGGTTATCGCTCCGAAGATTTCGAAGCTCGACTTCAAAAAAGGCTCGACAGTGGCTGCCGCGCTCAGTGTACAAGCGAACGTCGTCGAAGACGTAAACGCGTTTGAAATCGCGACGGTTAGTTCATTCATTCATCGTTCGGAGTGTCTCGCCGCATTTGCAAGCCGCAAGTGCTGCCGATAACGTCTATCGGGAGACTTTGACTGAGAAGATGTTGCATTACATCAGAATAGCAATCCGTAAGTAACAATTTGTCAAATCGGCGGGAGCGATGCATTTTCGCTGTCTCGAGACACTCGTCGAATTGATGAATTGATGACTTTTAACAAGAAGCGTACAAATCACTTTGACGAATATATTTTGTCGATTAAATTCCGCTCGTAACTGTAAGACACTTGGCGTGAAAGTTGATCCGTAGAGGACAATAAGTATGCAAATTTCTGACAGCAAATTTCAACCCCTACCTTCGGCTACCTACCTACCGTCACCTTCGATTGCAGTTAGACTTTTCCGTTCCTTTCTTTTACGTATTTTACATTGCAAATCGTATATGCTTTTCTTTGGAAGTAGTCATATACCGTGTTGTCATATACTTAAATAAAAAATATTCAATTGCAAAAGCAACCGGTTACTTTATCACCGTTAGACCATAGCTAATCAGAAGCAGGTCATCGAGATCAAATTTTTTCACGTCTGCTCGAAAGGAGTCTCCGTTACTTCTTACTGCTCGGTACTGGTCGTTTTCCAATGACGTTAAATAAATCTCCTTGCGCGGATTTTCATCGAGGGCAGCATCGGTGATCAAGTAGCGTGTAGCTAGCGATTTATCTCGCAAGGATCTCACATACCTGTGTGCGTTACCCAATAGAAGTGCTTCGAATTAAACGGATGCCTCGAAAAATAACGGAAACATGATTCCATCGGAACATCACACTGACAAATGGCTACTTACGTAGTAATTTTATTGTATATCAGGAAAGTGTGACTTAAATAAACAGGACGCATATTTGATACGATTTCCTGCGCGATATCGATGGCCTATTATTTAAGTACGTTATTTACTCTTCGTAAAATCCGTTATTATCCTCTTATGAAACCGGTTGCAATATTTATCCCACGGTCATTAGACGCGCGAGTTATTGTAAAGTATCGGAAACATACGGACTTATTTTGTGAAAATCAAATGACAAAGAATTATTTAACAGTAAGCGATTAAAAATTCTCGGAGCATTCTCTGCATTTTTCGACTGACTGCTTCATGAATCTTTTCTGCCCGATAGAGAAATTCTCGCGAGATAATTAAATTCTTTCGAGGAACTTTGAGTAAGGGGTTTAAAATGTGTGTTGTTTTAGGTATTATCGCAATAGAGATGAGAGAAACTCTAGAGATAGTCAAGCAAAGATGTCTGGGACAAGTGCGTAATCCGACGAACGAACGCCAACGAGTCACCGTGACGAATTCGGCGAGTCTACAACCGGCTCTATACTCAATAAAATCAAAATGTAATTTTAATGGCATCGATACTCGTACCACGGCTCACCGCGGTAGCCTTAATTCGTAGATTTAATTTAACGAGTCCAAGTATTACTGATGCATCGTGTTTGTTCCACGAGCTTGGGTACGTAGTTCATCATCGTTTTCACCTTCTCTACAAACCGAAACTTCGGCAACAAGAGGATTATCTTTTTACACAAAACACCAACATCTTTTGAATCGTTCTTGCTTCAAAGTTTCCTTTTTCTTCATCAAATCGATTACTCAACGCATAAATAATATTCATCGATTCGACATAATTTAATGAGATGTGTTCAGTTGAGGATGTGCAAGCCGAGAGAGGACAAAAAATTTACTTAATATGTTTGTTATACATTTCCGACATCTCATTGTCTCATTATTCAGGTCACGCTGCAAGCTAACAAACAATTACAAAAATTATGTGTACATAATTAATATTGTCAGTTAATTAACGCATTATAATATACATATATCATCTCTCAGTTGTTGGCGCGATTGAAACAAAATAAATCATTTTCCTGGAATCCGCAATTAAATAATGCGCATATCTCTCATAATCGGAGTGTATGCGCAAAAAAATGCTTACGTTAGCAAGAAAGAAGAATAATAGATGATATATGATTACATAATCGTGAATTACGTAATTGTGAAATGTTCTTGCGATGTTGTTCGCATCGAAACAAGAGGATACTTATCACGAGCAGTATGAAACAAATTAAATAGACCCAATCAAGAATATCGATTTCTAATCAGCGCTTAATAAATATTTAACAATAATATCAGCCGATTTTAACAATTTTGTTACATTTTATAAAAATTATTATTCGTCTCCACTTGAGTTTTCAATTAAATTCATAGTTCAGAATTCGCTCAATGAGCAACAGTGTGTTTCTCAAGCGGACGTGAATTTTGCAACCTACGAGAAAAAATATTCTCGAGAGAGTAAAAGCTCATTCTTGATATTTATCTGAGACGATAAAAGACGCAAGCAAATAAAAATGACACAAGAAGAAGATAGCATAAATCAGCGTATAGAGAGAACAATGATCTTTCATTCATGAATAAGTACATGCGTGAAATCAGCTACGTAACCTCGGAACAGAATAAGTAGACTATAAATAGAATTAATAGAACTGTTTACCGTTAAATTTTACGGTGCACAATTGTTACGGTGAACTATTTCTTTTTCTGTTACGTGAGTTGAAAGTACTTGATTATTATATGGAATATCGCGCAAAAGAGTTGTAAACCCGATCTGTGTGAGAGAACGACGCGTTTGTAAAATCTTAAAAACATCTTCTCGTGGTATTCGCGCTGAAATTTAATGTCTCATTAAACTGCTCAACTGACGACACAGTTGATAATCTAAAGTCATACATATAAAGTACTTCGTCTTTCCTGCAGAATCAAACTATCGCATGTTAAATTCTCAAGAATTGCCGCTCTCCTTCTTCTTGTACAAGTTACAAATTTGGGTTTTATTCACTTCGTCAAACCGTAGAGCGAGTTGGAGTTTTGAATTCATATATATTCATTGTTGCTAAGAGTTGTTCTTTGATGTTTTAATGAAGGCATTGCAGAACGGCATTAACGAGACCGCGTTAAAGAGGTTAAGAAATTGCAAATAAAAGCATTCATAAATCATTCACAGATGGTTAAGAAAGCGTAAAGAAAAAAAATTCTGTGCACCCATTGTTTTTCCGTTATATCTTCCTTCCGTTCTTTTCCTACATGTTCCATAAGTGCACATTTCATCTCATATATGCTCAACCGCAAACCAGCCGGCAAGAAAAAATGTACACGGTTCTATATATAAAATACGGCACTATGCTAATCTCGAGCTACAAATGAGCAAACGGGGGAATTCCCGACACTACCGATGAAAGCGATATCCGCAACGTGAAACTGGTTACAGGGCGACAACCTTAATCTCAAGCTTAGGATCCACCAATTCTTTTTCTTCTCAAGTATTGACGTCACGTTCGCCCTTTTGTTCGTGGTTCCACTTTCTTTTGTGCATAAAAATCAAATGCATTCCGCGACCCGGAAAAATACACGTGGAAAAGTTCTCTTTTACAAACCTGATGCAGTTAATTATAGAATGAAAGAAAAAGGAGAGTTAAATTAATAGTAATAGTCGACACGCATGTGGCCGATACAGATTGGGTCATTTTTTTTCATTGGCAATAAAAAAGTAATTAAAGTTCTTATTCTGAATTGTTAAAGTTCTTATTCCGGATAGTTATTC